CACACACACACTCTGACACAAACAGAAACACGTGGGTAAATGACACTGCACGGCATTTCCACTGTTATCTAGGCCTGTTACTGATCGTTCCAAACAGCAAATCCTGAGTAATATTTGCTGTTTAAACGGGTGCTGTCATTGTGGTCGATATAATAAATAATATAAAACTTCTCCCTGACTGATGCGACATTTTAATTTTTTTTTCGCTATTTCAAACCTGTTTTTCTCCTTTGCTTAAGCTATGAAAGTAAAAGAAAAAAAATGCAGCATTGCATTTACCCACGCCAGCTAAGTTAGAGTCCCTACGCGCTTGATTTTACGTACAGTACGCCGTTATCGAGAATTAATTGTGCAAATGTTTTATTTCTAGGCCGCAAGTTCGCCTCCTAATAACGTTTAATACCGTGTCCTCTGTCCTCTCTGCTCTCTCTAAAGTGTCTGTGTCTGTCTTTCAGGGCTTCTTCAAGAGGACAGTGCAGAACAACAAGAGGTACACGTGTGCGGAGAACCAGGAGTGTAAAATAGACAAAACCCAAAGGAAGAGATGTCCCTTCTGTCGCTTCCAAAAGTGCCTGAGCGTCGGGATGCGGCTAGAAGGTACACATTAATGTATACAATCCGTTATTATAACAGACAAAATACTGTCATAATAATAATAATAATAATAATAATAATAATAATATATTTTATACTTTTCATTTCATATCATGTATTTCATAGGGAACTTTATTATTTTTATTCATTTTTTAAAATAATTGTATCATTTGATTACACCTTTTTTTGGGTTAAGGCTATTTTCTTTAAATCATATTCACAGTCTTTCCTTGGTGGCTGGTGGTTCTCATGCTGTTTCCAATACATGTGGGATGGGATTAATTCCCAGACAGCAATGCAGGAAAGCACCTGCTTCCGTAGCAGAAAAAGGACACATTCTTGACTTACTGATAAAACCCCCAAGACTCCCCTGTTTTAAATCAAAAGCTCTATTTAGGCTACAAGGAGGAGTAGAGCTGCACAGACTCTGGGGATTCTTCTCAGCCCTAAAATAGGAAGCAAAAATGACCAACATGTCTGTTATTTATTCTGTAGCAATAGTTGGGAATACTGGTGAAGTGCAGGTTATGATTTTACTCTCTGCTGTTACAGTTCAATGCTCGTCAGGGGTTTTTGTAAAGGTGATCTTGGCAGTGCAGGAGAATTCAGTAGAGTCTGTGTTTCATTTGTAAATCTGTTTTTCACCTCTTGTCTCTTGTGTGACAGCGGTGCGCGCAGACCGCATGCGTGGGGGGAGGAATAAATTTGGCCCCATGTACAAGAGAGACAGGGCCTTGAAGCAGCAGAAGAAGGCTTTGATACGATCCAATGGGTTCAAGCTGGAGAGCGCAGCTCCTCCGCCGGCCTCTCCTCTGCAGACTGACTACGGCTTCACCGGCACCCTGCACAGCCTGCCCACCATCTCCAAAAGTCTGCTCCCCTCCACCCCGAGCTCCATCACCCCTACAGACTACGAGGCCAACCTCTATGGACCCCCATCTCTGGGCATGGCCATGCAGTCGCATGTGCCCCTCAGCACTCAGTACCAGTACACAGCCTTCCCCGGCAGGGCGATTAAAGCCGAGTGTCCCGACTACACCAGCTCCCCCGAGTCTCTGACAGGATACCCCTACCCAGACATGTACCCCTCAACCTCACCACAGCCCCCCAGCCTGCCACCACTGGTGCTGGAGCTGCTGCGCTGTGATCCAGATGAACTGGTGGTGCAGAATAAGATTGTTGCTCATCTGCAGCAGGAGCAGAGTGGCCGGGGACGCCTGGACAAGCCCAGCACCTTCAGCCTCATGTGTCGCATGGCAGACCAGACGCTCTTCTCTATAGTGGAGTGGGCCCGGAGCTGCATCTTCTTCAAGGAGCTCAGGGTGAGTCCCAAGACCTTCATCCTGTCCTTGTGCTCACACAGGCATTCATTGTGGCAGCTGCACTCACTCTTATAACTGTCTATATCCCAAATTCAGAATACAGCTTTGCTTTGTCTCCCCTCCATTAACGCTGCTTTATACAGATGCTACACAATCCATACAGTTTTGTATTATATCCTCTAAAAAGTGACGGTCCTATTTTTGTGGCATTTTAAGAAAATAATTTGTCAAATAAGAATGAAATTGCTGCCAAACCCCCAAATCTGAATTCTCCTGTGTATTGGTACTAACACAGACATGGACATCCATCAAAAAACAGATAGTGTCACTCATTTATGCTTCACTTCACACAGAAAAAAGAGGGCAAAAAGTAACACAATGAAGACCTTGAATGAAAAGATAGGCAGGGAGTATGCACTGATTATAAAATAATCTTCTCTCATTTTACGGCACAATTTTTCAGTTTGTTTGGTTTCTTATTTCCCTGTGCTTTCTTTTCAACACTGTTATATGTGTTTAAAACTGTTGTAACAATGTATCAATAAATCAGCTGGTTTGGGAGGCAAACATTTGAATTGAATTGAATGCCACATTCTATTCCTGACCTGGTCCAATCGCCGGATTAGTCGTGATGTCGTGTGAAAGCTTCTAACACTGGCTGCACCTTCTCCCATTAAACATAAGGGAAATCAAAAACAAGCTAGGAAAATAAATATGAATATCTCAGATTGTATTATGAAATTTGGATGAATACTGTAAAGGCATTACAAGACATCACAGCCATGTCACCGCCCTAAAGACTTTGGTTTGGTTCTGCAATGCAGGCTTTTTTTAAACTCTGTAGTTGTTTTAGCAACAAAAGCTGAGAGAAAGTCCTCAGTCTGTATTGAGTGAAGCCTTTAGAGACGGATGGATGGATGTCCCAAAAAACGTTAATCACATTACGCTTTTGCAAGGACATGTCATCCTGTTCTTTCCTTTTTCTGTTTTCTATCTGTTTCTGTTACTTATTCTCGTACAGCACCAAAATAACAATAGCTTGGTTACATAACATTTTGCTTTGCTAAAAAGTAATAAGAAAGGTTATTTTAAGAGGAGGTGGCTTGTTGTAGGTCGGTTTTAATAGAGGTCACAGGTTGCTTCGAGGCCTTTTCAGTACAAAAAAATACATGAATGCATTAAAAACTGATGACGTTGACTCATACACCCACAATCCACTGTGGACTTGCAGCCTACAAAACAGCATATTTTTGCAACCAATCGAGAAAACTAGCTGACTGTTGGGTCTCATTCCCTAGACATCAAATACAGCTGCTTTTAATGAAACTCAGCAATCATCTATCTTTAAGCCACCAACCCAAAGTGTCTTTACATCTTTCTTGGCTCTGATTGGTTGTTTTAGTCTAGGCCTGGTGGATTCTTGCAAATGCCATTAGGAGTGCTAGAAGGAGCCAGAGGAGCCGTTTTTTTTCACAGATTATCTGTCTCATGTTCTACTGTTGGGATACAGTGAAAGTTTCAGTAAATATGACCAAAAGCTTTTGTTTATTAAAGTAACCTACTGCAGCATTAATGCTTACTGTGATGGCTACTTAACATACATTATGGTAATGACTGAAGACCAGAAGGCAAAACAATCTGCTCTGCTTAACAATAATAATGTAGAGCATACATGATTTGAACTACAAAAATGCACAAGTACTAGAATAAGAATAGTCCCTAGTGACTGTATAGACATTTTATTAAATGATGTTGCACCATAGCACACATTACAACACTTCACGAGTCTCACAACAGCACTATGGTCTCGAGTGAAACCATAGGTAATCTTACAGCTGCCAATTCGTTATCTAGGTGTCTAGTGAAGAAAGCTTGGTGGAAATTTCAGTATTATTAGCAAACACAGAAAACAACACAGAACAGTGCGAGTTCTGCCTTCTAGCTGTGCCTGAGTATGCTTAATGAAACGCAAGTTTTTTGATGCCAAAATTCTCGGCTTCCATTCTCTTTTCTGAGGTTACATTGTTCTGTTGTCTTAAAGCCTAGAATACATCTCATTAATATTTCTCTTGTCTTTATTTGCATATTTGGTGTTTAGGTAATCCAAAAGTAAAAGAAAGTGATTAGTAATTGACTAAATCTGATTACATTTTTAAGGTAACCCCTGGTTTTGCTGTTCCATATTAACACATAAACACACATTGGGTTCAATTATGTTTTATAGAAATGTACAAACAGAGATGTTGGAACATTTCTCTTTATTTCTATTCACACTACTGTAACAGACAAGTCAGCTTATTCTAGTGTAATGATGTAAAATACAAAGTTACTTTAATGACAATGAGTCTGGAGTGTTTTAGCAATATGGTGGAATACTTTTAGCCTTGTAAGGGTAATTGCTCCTTGCTGGTGTCACTGCGTTTCCTCTGTGCTGAACAATAGTGGACCAGACCACACACACACACACACACACACACACACTTCTGAGGATAAGAATTGGACATACATCAGTGTCCCACTCCATCCTCTCGAGCACTGTGATTGTCTTTGTGAGCTGTGCCACAGACACACTGCAGTATTGGACAGTTCAGATGATATAGTGACAGTCAAATGTAACGCTGGAGGAATCAGTGCTGTTGTTCTGGTTAACTGTGCTGCTGCTGACAATATGGCTGAATGAATAAACTGACTGCTCCAAGTGAAAATGGAGGATTATAATTCTCCTCTGACAAAATAAGGCCAGTTACTCAACAATGAAGAAAATATTACCCTTCTCTGTGAGCCATGATATAATCTGTCTGTGCTGACAAACAAACATCTGTCAGAAAGCCATGGTCAAACTGATTGCACCAATTAAACAGTTTAACTAGCAACAAAAGGTTGATTTTAGCCTTGGTGAGATTTGGTGAGATTCCTTCCTGTCTTTTGATCAAATACAGTTTATTTACTCTCGAACATTCAGAGCAGGTCTGCTCCTTTCCTGCTTCACACTTATTCACTTGTTGACATTCATTGCTGGGACTGCCACAGGCTTGGACATGTGGGCACTAAGAACTGCACAGTCTTCTACTGCTGGTTACCAGGTTGGTTCTAAATGCATTATGAGTATAGCTAGACTGTATAATTAAAAATAGATGTAGTCTCTGTGATATCGTCACATCTGAAGAGCCGCTGTGAAGCTCAGTGTGGTCAACTCTGGTTGTCACCATTTTGGCAGTCCTGGCTACACTGTCTCCTGGCTAATCCAAAAATGGGCAAACAGGTGGAGTGTGGGTGGAGCTGAGAAAGGCTGAATGCCTGGTTACTGACAACAGCTGCCTGTAACGGCACCCACCTGTCACTCAAAACAGGCATTACCTTAATTATGCGTAACTTTAAACCTTGATATACTTCAAATGAGCAAGTTGTCTAAAAATTCACCCCCTACAGTTGTCATGAACAGGGGAATTAGCTATAGAGACCAAAAGTGTTTCTGTACCAGGCTGTAAACATGTTTATTTCTAAAGGTGTGCATTTTAATATAGGGCCTTATGGAGATTGACTCACTGCTGGAGCCAGCCTCAAGTGATCATTAGAGGAACTGCAGTTTTTGTTTCTTCAGTGTTGCTTAATTGCAGCCAGTTATGGTTATGAACAGTTTCTGAATATACAGGCTCATAATATTGCTTGTAAACAGACTAAGAGCAGGTGTATGCTGGTTTCTTTCTGCTTGCATGAAAAAAACAACAAAATGAAGCAGATGTTTTTTCTTTGTACAAACTGCAGCAAGGACTTTTAAATCATGTTTTGGGACAACTGGCTGAAAGCTACACAGTACATCAAAATGTTTTTATGAGCCTCATACTTAAATATGTCATACATGCTACATTCATATTAGTGGGGTTATGGTTGGTTCACCCAAAATTAGAAAAAATCCCCCCCAAAAAACAAACAAACAAAAACCCACATAGACTCTGATGTTCAGTGTATGTATGAAACATCAGAAGACTTTAGCTGAATTAGTGTTAAATTACCTAAGTCCTAATAATGTTAAGACAGACAATGGCTGCAGCCTTTCCTGCAACAGTCTGAGTAAATTAACCAGTCAAAGAGTTAGTGCACCCAAGTTACAAATGAATAACTGTATTAAATTAAAAAATAAAAAACACAAAATGATTGCAGATGAATGGAAGTTGGTTTGTAACAGTATTTCCATTTGTCCACAGAACACACTATCAGAGCTTTCCTTCTTCAGTAGAAAGTAAAACAGTTGACAGTGTGTTAGGTAGAGTGTCAACTTTTATTTGTATTTTTTTAATTTGGGTGCACAATCCTTTAATTGGATGATTTACTCAGACTGTTGCAGTAAAGGCAGTAGCCACTGTCTATGTTAACGTCATTTTAAAATGATTTGGTCATTCTCACAACACCACTAATACAGCAACGCAATCTGATGCAACAAATAAGCGTTAAACATCAGTGCATCCTGGCATTTTGTGTTTCTATTTATCTGTTGAATAATCAGAATTTACAGCTGATTTCATAACATTTATTCTACTCTGTGTCCAAATACCTAAGCCATAGTATGAAAACGACTAAAAATTATGATTGAATTCTTAGTTTATCAGAACATCCAGAAGAACTAGTCTTTTTCATTGTTACTTTTGTATCTTCCTTGTCTCAGAAACAAAGAGCACATTGTGGTGCTGATAAAATTTGTAATTTGAAATTTGCATCTTCTCCGAGTAACAACAAGAAAGTATCTTTATACTGCCAGTGTTAGAGGGCTGAAACGCTCCTCTGCATTACTAAAACAGGAGAGAAGCACAGAGGCTGCTCATCTTTCATTATCACAGAATTGCTCCATAAAAAAGTCAGATCTTAATAACACATTAGTATTAAATCCTCCCCAACATATACAAGTTATTTATGCACATAAAATTCCAATGCTTGTCCAACAGTAGTGATTTTCCAGGATCTGAGAAATCCTCCAGTGCACGCAGGTTATGCGTTACATGCAT